GTAAGGTGAGCATCCAAACTGCCTAGGCTCCCACAAAACCAATAGGTGCAGTAGGATCAAAAACCTATTGCCACTGTTCTTGAGGTCTCAGTAGTCCTCATTGTCCGCTATGTTCAGCAAGACCGGTTTTAACCCAGGCTTTTTCAGACCCAGGCCAGCTGGCCTTGGTGAGTTCCCGATAGAACATCCCCATTGTCTCAGTGTGTGGGTGCACCCCTCGCGGTCCTGAGTTCCTTGCTTGTGCTCTCTCTCCTTCTGTTCCTGATTTGGACCTTGAGATTTCAGTCCGGTGCTCCAATGTGGGTCTCTGTCTCCTTTCATCGCCTGATGAAGGTTAATCTTCAGGAGGATGCCTATATGTTTTTCTTTGGGTTCTCCTTCTTATTTAGCTTCTCTAAGAACCCGAATTATAGGCTCAATGTCCTTTATTTATGGAGAAGACAATAACCAACTTTATATGGAAAAACAAGAGGAGTTGGGTTTTTGGGAGCCCAGAAAGCCTGTGTTCGCTCGGCCGCGGAGACTCTGGCACTCGCAGGCTTAGTCCTCAGCGGCGCTCGCGGGAGGCCCGAGGGGAAACCTGAACCCGGTATCCGAGTATCTGTACCACCTGCGTGGGCGTCAGAGAGCTCGTCGGATCCCCTGAAACTGGGGGTACACATAGGTTTGAGCCGCCATGTGGGTGCCGGGAGCCGGACCTCTGCCCTCCTCAAGATCAGCAATGGCTCCTAACCCGTGTCCAATTCCCAACACCAACGTGGTGGCTCACAGACGTCTGTAGCTCCAGTTTTAGGGGATCAGATGCCCTCTGGCCACTGAAGGCCCCAGGTGTGCACACAGCACTTCCATGCAAGCGGAAACAAACATAAAAATAAAGAGTCCTTTGTATGTATTCTTTGAGTGTCTCAAACGTGTACACAGTGTATCTTGATTGTAGCCCCCTCTCACCTCCCAGTACAAAAGGAATGCCCTGGCTGGCCCCAGACTGGGTGTTCTGCCTCTCTCTCATCATAGCCAGGATAGTATGTATGTATGGAACCCATGCAGGTCCTTCCGTGTGCTTGAACTCAGCATCTAGTTTGTGATACCTACTACAGTGTAAATGCTGTGTGAGTAATTGTTACCCTATGCTAGAAAATAATGATCTGTACATCTTGGGAACAGGTTGTGAAGCATGATGGGGAATTCAGGAGTAGGGGGGTGGTTTCAGTAAATGCAGTTGTCATTGTGATCCCTGCAGCAGTCTCATTCTGGAACTTCTGCTGATAAAAATCTGGTGATATTTTGGTGACTTAGCAGCACGAGCAGGAAATCAGCCGTGGACGGACGGGAGACTTTCTCTTAGCTCTTCTGCAGCTCTGCTAGCTCGGAGCATGAAGGGGAGGGCGGAGGAGCTTTAGAGGTTGCTGGAATCAGGCAGCTATGGCTGAGGTAAGCTAGAGTCCCTGTGAATGAACCGAATTACTCCCAAAGGAAAAGCAGCAGTCCTTGGTTCGGAGACTCCCAAGCAATCTTTTGAGGGGAGGGATGACTTAACATAGGATCTCAGGATCGCACTGTGTAGCTCATGATGGCCTTTAATTCAGATTTTCTGCTTCAGTCTCTTACTTTATAGGAAGGGCCTGGGACAGAGGGACGCCAGTAGACACCAAAAGGAAACAAGTGTTACATCCGGAATATAGATTAGTCAGTGTGATAGTTTGAATGAGAATGGTCCCTGCAGACTCCTGTTTGAATACATGTTCTCAGGTTACTGGAACTATTTGGAAAGGAGTAGGAGGTGTAGCCCTGTTGAAGAAGGTGTTTCAGGGCAGGCTTTGAGATTTCAAAAACTTCTCACCATCCCTGTGTGCTCTCTGCCTCCTGCTTGAGGTTTGAGATGCGAGCTCTCAGCCGCTGCCGCCCACAAACGTTCAATCCACCATCTGTACTCCAACCCTTTGGAACTGCAAACCCAATTAAAAGTTTTTTTTGGTAAGTTATCTGGGTAAAGATGTTTTCTCACAGCAATAGAAAAGTAACTTAGCATGGAAGAGCGGAATACAGTCAGGTTTGGCCATATGTACTACACGCAGGGCTTAGACTTCCTTAAATTTGAGCTATAAAGACCCCATCTAGCACCTCCATGTCAGTGGTTCTTGACCTTCCTAATGCTGCGAGCCTTAGTACTTACTCAGGAGTACAGTTCTCCTGAGTAAATTGGAAGCATGGGGACCATGGGAGAGGGTTGAAGGGGAGGGGAGAAGCAGGGAGGGGAGCAGAGAAAAATGTAGAGCTCAATAAAAACAATTTTAAAAAAGATTTACATACTTCAAACAGAAGGTACCAGACACAAGAGGTCACAGTCACAAAAGGCAGATCTAAGCCGGGTGCTAACACTCTGGAATCAGAGCAGCCGTGGAACTCTGCGGGACTCTCAGTAAGGGATATAGATATCTGAGGGCAAGAGCAGGTGCAGTCACAGGAAATCAGACACAGCACAGGGTGTTGACAGATCGGCGGGTGTCCCGTCCTCTCACCTCTGTCCCCTGGTATTCTGCTCTCTGAGGAGGAGGAAGAGTTATGTTAACGTGTAAGTATTCACAGGTGAGATGGAAACTTCTGACTGCAGGGTCTATAATGTTCACATTTCTACTTGTTTCTGTATTTAGAAATTTCCTCAAGGAACA